CTATACCGGAGGGTGTCTCAAAAACATCCGAGAACTCGTCTAACAACCGGGTCACACGGGGGTCGGAAGACACATCCGTGGACGATGAATCGGTCTTCGGGACGGTTCGAAGAAAAGCGATGCCAATCTCTTCGACATGCTCGGAACGGCATGTGTCTCGAAAAGATTTGGCACTCACGACTTGGCACCGAATGGAAGAGCGAGGAGGAATAGTACACGGGACCTCGGCGCCAGTTTCATCACGAATCGTGAGCGTGCGTCGATGGAAATTGACCGTGTGGTCCGCGCTAGAAAGCCAAGGCATCCCCAAAATGACATCGAARTCGGTGTCCAACACGTCAAAAGTGACGGGTTCACATGCGTGCGGTGCAAAGTACGTCGGGACAGCTGAGATGTAACGGTCTAAAAGTTGTTTCATCTTACTGTCGGCAAGAGCGACCGTCGTCGGATGTGACTTCCTTCGTACTTGTGCGCCAAGGGCAGCCCGAGTCATGAAGGACTGGCTGATGAAGTTGCGAGTTGCGCCGCAATCTAGCAAAGCGTTGCAGGCCGCTTGCCCAATCTGAATGCGAACGTAGAGCAACGGTGCGTTGTTTTCTTCGTACCGTTGCGAGACAAACTCGCGGGCCACCTTGGCAACATAGCCAAGCATGTCCCCCACCGCGACTTCGTCTACCGTCGGCGAAGTTGGTGGTGCATGGAAGGAAAGATACTCGTGTAAGAGGGCGCATAGGGCTGTGCTTTGCGGCCCCTGAAGGTTGCCCGTCGTAGGGAGAGGAATCCAAGCGAAGTCCTCGGGCGTGAGCGGGTCCCAAGCCTCCTCGTTGAACACGCTTGCCGAATCCCTTGATGAAGACGAACTGGCGGAAGAACCTTCGGACGGTGAGAAAGCCGCACATGTATCTTGTCCTTGAGAGGCATCCAGTGAAGGAACGAGACGGACAGCGAAGTCTTCGAACGAAAGTGGAAGACTCCCAACATCCGCATATGCCTCGGAAGAAAGGGCGGTCGTGGCCACAACCGCTTCCGATGGCGTCAAGGGAGGTGTCGAGTCACCCTCGACGGCGCCTACTTTCCCGGACGAGGTTTCCCCTTGGTGGGGCAATGTGCAGCATCGTGGATGGTGCTGTTGCACCAAAGGCAATAACGGTACTTGAGTCGCGTGCGATAGGAATTCGCCGAGAGTCCGTATTGCGCCCAAGGTTCGTCGGCTGCTGATCCGGTGCTCGGTGTAGAGGTGGACTGAGTCTTCGTCTTGTCGCGGCCGTGGTTGTTGCGCGGCCGGCCACCATCCCGGGCAGCTGCCAACACTTCACCCTCGTTTGGTGTTGCAGCCTCGGTAGAAGTAATGCAAGCCACCTTTGGCTTGGGCTGGGTGCCGCTCATCGTCGCGGAAGATCGGCCGGCGTTGTGGGCTTCGATATTCGTGAGAATGATCCGTGACGCTGTGCTGAAAAGCTTGTCAGATGTGTCGAGTGTCTCTGCAATCTGCGTCAACATGTTTTGCAGAGTTGGACACGAGCGCATGATAAACAAGTGCTTGATGGCGCGGAATGCGAGCAGCAGGTCAGTTGTGGAGGCGAGTCTTTGGAACTCGGTAATCCAGTCCTGACTGAGCAGCGTATTCTGATGGAGCTTGTTGAGCTTGTCCATCGCTTGCAGGTCGGGCGGCTCCACTTGGAATCGCTTGTGCCAGGCGTCAGTCAATTCCTGCCAAGTGAGCTTGGTGTGYAGTTCCGACACTGCTAYGCCGTGGCTGGTCAAGATGTTGTCCARCCATGCTTGACACGCACCACCAGATCGGTGGTACAAGCACGGATGTCGATCGTTGTTCGGGACATGGTGCATGTTGAGCCTGAGAGTAAACTRGCGCCACCACGGGATCGGTTCCGTCTTGGACTGATCGCAGAAWACTGGAATGTCATCTAGCTTGGGTGGGCGCCTGGAGGATGCGGCGGCGGGCGTCACGGTGGCAGCAGCCTGGACCTGCGTCTCCAACTGCAAGTTCGTTGCTTGCTGCGACGTCCTGAAGTCCTGATGCACAAGCTTGATATTGTTGACGTCGTCCTCCAAAACTTGAACACGGGTGGCAAGGTTTGAAGGCCCTGCGGCTGCTGCAGCAGCTGGCTATTTTTCCAACGCCTGCAGCCATGCGAGCATTTGGTCCTGCTGCAGGTGAAGGATTTCCTCCTGCTGCAGAACGCAGGTGGCCACGAGGTCGTGGGAGACCTGTGCAAGGGCTGGCAGCCCTTTCTCAGTCTCCGGGGCCTCGTCTGCAGATGCCACTTGCACCCAATGTGCGGCCTCATCGCCGATCACGGTCTCCCGCGTGAACAGTCGTTCCCGCTGGCGTGACCAGTGTTCGGCTGTCGCCTGCAGGTCTGCCTCCTCTTGACGAAGTCGGTCTTGTTCTTCCTTCTGTCTCTTGGCCTCCTCTTCTTGCTCAATCCGACCACGTTCCTTGGCCGCGGCGGCAGCCCTGTCATTGGCCTCCTGGATGAAAGCAGCCAGGCGTTCCTCATAGGCAAGGAGGGATTCTCCCTCCTTCCGGTCCATGGTCTTGGTCTGTGATCGAGTGAGTCGTGGCATGCACTGCTCTGAGGAGTCACCTATGGGCCAATCAGATAGACTGGCCCAGTATTCGGACTGGAGGGGAAAGAACAGGTAGGCAGCAGACAGGTGGGAAGGATCGGACAGATCCCAAATTGAACAGTTCCCT